TTGAGAGATTTTCATTGTAGGGCGCGTGTGCTCGCCAGACAGAGACATAGAGAGACATAGAGACAGAAAGCGAGAAATCACCCCCCAGGGGGGGATGGTCACGCCGCAATCCCTTCTCCTCCATTCTCCTCTCGGGATCTTGGGCACGCACGCACACGTGCCCGGCGTGAGTTTTAAGCCACCGGGTCCGGGACATGAACCGCGGTCGACTATGTGGGAGTCCAGCGACATAGCCATTACGCTAACTGCTGGTTCCCTTTTTGTGCTCTAGAGGCAAGGCCATGGGCTTTAAATTCACAGAACTCTCCCCCCATTATTCTTTATTATATCCTTCTGTTGTTTTCTGGTCTATCATTATTTTAAGTATTAGTTACATTAGTTAATGTAACTGTTCTTCTTCCCCACTAGGAGCAAGCTTCAAGAGGGCTAGACTTTATTCTATAATTTGTGTTGGGTCTCTATCACCTAGTGCCATAGCCTGCCCATGGGGAGGTAATACATAATTAGATTTTAAATAAACAAAATGAGAGATACCTGGCTTAAGTCCTGGTTCAACCGTTTAGCATCTTTGTGTTCTCCAGCAAATTACTCACTTTCCTCATCTGTGATACGGTCTGCCAATGGCAGCTTCATGGAATTGTGGAGTCATTTAGAGACTATCTTAGAGATGCTCAAAAAAGATAGCCGCCGAATCTTCCTCCTTATAGGATTAATTATTAAGAAGCACCTTGACTTGGTTGGGAGGCAAGAGGATTTACTCAGCCTTTTCTAACCCCCTCAAGCTCTGAGCATCTGACTTTTCACCAGGCACGAACCAGCACCCACTGAGAGCAGCTTCCATTATGTGAGTCCCCTGCAACAGAGATGGCACGGACCTATGGGAGCTACTCTGGAAAGTATGACCAAGCCTGATTAGGGAGCACTTCTGAGGGCTGAGGGTCTTTGGTCAGCTCTTAAGGAACAGTTCCCTCTGTGCAAACCTTTTAATTAAACACTCGTGTTTATTTTCTGAAGTTCATTGAGTCATTTTAGTCTGTGTCAGGAGCTGCATCTTGATTTTTCACAAAGCCCAGTTGCTTTGAGTAATGGAAAACTACAAAATGGCTTCACAGAAGGCATTACCGGGTCACGCAACTCTGATGCCAGGGCATCCCCTCCACGGCAGCTGCTTGCCTCCTGAGTGGGGACCTGACCTGTGGAGGGGTCCAATGGAGCACTGCCTGGTTCCTGTCTAACCCAGTGCTGGATTCCAAGGCTTTCCCAGAGGTGGGCCAGGCACTCTGGATGCTGAGGAACAATTATTGAGGGGTTCCAGTTGCCACAGGCATTATGCTGAGCCAGGGTGAGCATGTTGCCAGGAGCCCTACCTTTAAGACATGGCATTATTAGAGAGAGAGGCTTGAGTCACACAGGTTACCAGTATAACTTCATGCTAAGTCAGGCTGTGATGATTGGAGAGCAAATAAGAACCACTGTTTATTACTGTATGCCAGGCTCTTTAAATATGTTATCTTATTTGATTCTCATATCCTGTGCTCTGCAGAACAGAATACAGAGCATCTCCATGCTGTGTCCACACAGTGATTGCCCTTTTTTATGAGTTTTCCAGAGAAGTGTGTACTCACCAGAGAGAGAGGGAGAGGAGAAAGCACCCCCTCCCGAAGGAATGGTCACACTGCCATCCCTTCTCCTCCATTTCTGCCTCCTTTAGGTATTTTGGGCATGCACACAAATGCACCTGGTGTGTTTCTCAAGCTGCCAGGTCCAGAACTCAAAATGTGCAATTGGCTATGTGGGATCTGGCTACCCTAACCAGCATTCTTCCAGGCCCCAGTGGGGATGACCTGTTCTAGTACTTTCTGTATAGACAGTCTTGTCACTTGTGAATAAAAATCATCTTATTTCCTCCTTCCCAATCTCTATAACCTCCTGTTTCCCTTTCTCATCTTTCTACAGTTAGGGCTTCTAATGTGATGTTGAATAGGAAGGAGAACATCCTTTTCGTATTTCAGATCTTAAGAGTAGAGCATTCAGGGCCAGCAGGTGGTGTGGTGGTTAAGGCACTGGAATTCCTACATGGCTGACTGTGGTTTGAGTCCTGGACTTGGTGGCTTTCTCTCTCTCTCTTTCTGTGTCAAAACTCATGTGAAATAATAATAATAAATAAATTGGGTAAATAATTCTTTAAAAAAAGAAATAGTAGAGCATTCACTCTCTCACCATTAAGTATAATGTCAGCAGTAGGTATTTTATAGCTGCTCTTTATGTACTTAAGAAAATCCCCCTCTATTGTATTTTGTCTAATACTCTTTCGGCATCAATTGATATGATCTTAAGATTTTTCTTTTTTAGCCTGTTGATGTGTTGGATTACATTGGCTGATATTCACATGTTAAACCAGTTTGCAACTGTTTGCAGTATATAATCCTCTTCCTACATAATTGGGTTTGATTTGAAAATATTTCATTGAAGATATTTGCATGTATGTTCATGAGAAATATTAGTTTATAGTTTTATTTTCTTGTAGTGTCTTTATTTGGTTTTGGTGTTTGGGGAATGTTGGCTTCATGGAATGAGGAAGTATTCCTCTGATTCTATTTCCTGGAGCATTTTGTGCAAAATTGATATTATTTCCTTGATATATGTTTGATATAATTCATTTCAGCCTGGTCCTTTCCTTTTTTAGATTATTATTCTTGGTTCTTTTTTTTTTTTTTTACTAGATATAGGCCTATTCAGATGATGTATTTCTTTTTATGTATCTTGAAGTTTGTGTCTTTTCAAGGAATTACTCCATTTCATCTAGGTTATCAGATAAATAGAGTTGTTTATAGTATCTTTTCATTAACTTTTTATGTCCATAGAGTCAATAGTGATGAACCCTCTTTCATTTCTGATATTGGTAATTTGTGTATCTTTCTCTTGGCTGGGAAGTGTTTTCATAATACACACTTGAGCTTATTTCCACCTGTTTTGGATGGAGGTTTGGGGTTGTAGGTTTCAGCATGCTTCCTTTAGCACACCCAGGAGGTTCCAGTATAGCTCAGCAGGAGGCAGGAGATGGGGAGCCATCATAAATTTGGATCTCTTTGTTACTAGTTTTCAAGCTTTTATATCCAGGGCACTCTGCAGCCATTCGTGAATGCTAGTATGTAGAATAGAAGACTGTAAAGCCATGCATTGTGATTGATTTGGGAGAAGAAGAGAGGCAGGAGGACCTTGCCTGCGCGGTATTCACCTCCCTTCTCTTAGGGCAGCCTCCGTGGAAGCTCTAGGTGTCCCAGACCCTATTGCTGGTTCTCATATTCAATGGGATAATGTCCATGTAGTGTTTCTGCATAGAAGTTAGCATATAACACAGGATGAATAAAGACAAAGACCAGTTACAAGTATTGCTTTTGGTAGTAATACCCCATCAGTAATGAGTATCCAGGAATGAAAAGGGCTGCCTTCTGCAGTGGTCACTGTGTTCCCTGCCGCTAAGGAATCTGAGCAGAAGCTAGATGCTCACACCTCCGTGTAGGTAAAGGGAGTCAAAGACTCTTCACCCAGAGTCCTCTTAGTCCTCTTCTGAATGTGGAGATATAGGAATTAAGCTCTGGGCTTTCACCTCCAGAACAGAGGATGCATGGGGGTCCCAACTACATTCCAGCCCTCCCTTTGTAAACCCAAATGTTCTCTGATTACGCTTTTGTAGGATTATAGCCCATGCCTATTTCTCACTTTATCTATCTGATTTTTGGAAGGCTCTGCTCTGACTAATGGGGGATTGAACCTGCACAGCCCTGTGAAGAGAAAGCTGGAAACAGAGAAGGACTATGTCTTTGACACGAGGCTCAGGTACAGCGTCCGCCAGAATGAAAGCAACTGTCGGTTTCGAGATATTGTCGTGCGGAAAGAAGAAGGGTTCACACACATCTTGCTGTCCAGCCAGACCTCGGATAACAACGCACTGACACCTGAGGTAAAGGGACACAGCTGATGGGTGGGGTGGGCTGGGGGCTGACGGAAATAACCAACATGCATAATAACTGGGCCACGGGGCACAATTTGCTCATCACTTTATGAACTTTATTTTAGGGATATATACATTATTCCATTTTATAGACAAAAACCACGGGGCGTGGAGAGATTAAGTGAACTGACCATGGCCATAGACTTAGGGGTGGCCCAAGCCAAACATCATATCTTGGACTTTTCCAGCTTCCCTATAATCAGCATGTCAGATTTCTTTGCTAAATGGAATTGAACTCGTTTAGTTCACATATATATTTGTTACTGAGATGGAATTGACATACCATAAATTTTATCCTCTAAAAATGTACAGTTCTGGGGCCAGCAGATGGCGTAGCCGTTAAATCACTTGAACACATGGCTGGCCATGGTTCAAGTCCCAGACCTGGTGGCTTAAGATCACAGGAGGAGAATGGTGGAGAAGGGATTGCAGCATGACATCCCCATGGGGGGTGATTTCTCACTTTCCCTCTCATTGTCTCTCTCTCTTTCTCTCTCTCCTACAAGTGCATGCACCCTAAGGCAAAAACTTCTTTAAAAAAATGTACAGTTCTGTGATTTTCAGTATATTCACGAGGTTGTGCAACCGTCAACATTATCTAGTTATAGAACATTTCTGTCACCCCCAAAAAGAAACCCCATATCCATGAACAGTCATTCCCCATTCCCTTCTCCCTAACCCCTGGCAGCCACTCATCTGTCTCTAGAGATGCATCTCTTCTGGACAGTTTATGTAAATGCAGTCATACAGTGTGTGGCTTTTTTTCTTTTTCTTTTTCTTTTTGTCTAGCTTTTTTTGCTTAGAATATTTTCCAGGTTTAACCATGTCATAGCATAGATCCATACTTTATTCCATTTTATAGATGAATAATATTTCATTGTATGGATACACCACATTTAGTCTATCAGTTTTTCAAATTGATGGTCATTTGAGTTGTTTCCACATGAATAACCTTGCTACAAACATTTGTGTACAAGTTTTTATGTGAACATAGTGTTTCCAATTTTCTTGGAAAGGTTCCTAATGTAATTTTTTGGGGTCTATTCCAATTCTTGGGATGGCTGTGTCATATGGTTACTCTATATTAACTTTTGAGGAACTGCCAAACTTTTCCACAGTGACTGCACTGTTTACATTTCCATCACTGGTATGGGAAGGTTTTAGTTTCTCTGCATCCTCACCAACACTTGTTATTGTCTGTCTTTTCTTGGATAGCCATATTCATATACATGAGATGGTATCTCCCTGTGCTTTTAATTTGCATTTCCTTAGTGACTGATAATGTTGAGCATCTTTTCATGTGTGTGTTATTTGTCTTTCTTCTTTGGACTAGTGTTTACCCAAATCCTTTGCCTATTCTAAAAATTGAGTAATTTTTCTTTTTATTGTCATTTTAAGCATACTTTATATTTTCTGGGTACTAGGCCCTTATCAGCTATGATTTGACAATTTCTCTTATTCTGGGGGCTGTCTTTTTACTTTCTTGATAGTGTTCTTCAATGGGAAAATTTTTAAATTTTGAAGTTCAACTTATTATATCTTATTTTTTAAAATTACTTTATTCCTCCTTATCGTTGATGGAGCATGTGAACATGAGAATGAGAGAGAGGGAGAGTCGCACCTTCCACAGGATCTGTTCATGCCACAGTCGCCTTCTTCCAGCCTTGTAGCCCCTTGGATCTTGGGCATTTGTGCATATACCTGACATGCTTTGTTACTTTTTTGTTCAATGCCTAGGGCATGTACATGCATGTGCATGAGCAAGGTGGTGGTGGAGGAGAGCACACCGTAATGGGGCATGGTCACACTACAGTCCTGTTTTCTTTGATTCTTCATCACATTAGGATCCTGGGCATGTACACTTTGAATGTTGCTACCAGGGCTGGGATTCAAACTCCAGTTGGCCATGTGGGAACCACTTGCTTAACTTAACTTCTGCCCTGTGGGGCTGGCTCTACATTACTTTTTAAATGTTAATCAAACTTACATCTTTAATGAGTAAAATAGGGAAATAGTGAATCCTTAATGTTGCTAGGTAGACTATATTTTTCAACTATGGGCTCATGGAGCAGGCAATGGAGAGATTTTTGATGACAATTATGTGGGACACACTCATCTGAGGAGCCTTCTGCTACTAGATCAACCAGGGACACGGTGGCAGAGTGACAAATGACAAAGACAGTGACAATGCCAATGAACAGTAGCTCTTTGTGCTTTTTATTGGCTGGTTATCCCAGTTCATCCCACCAGCACCCTTCTGATATGGAATAACTATGATCTACATTTTATGAATGAGAAAATTTAAGCTTAGAGCACTTAACTGGTCTCAAGTCTCATGGCATAACCAAATGCTAGCATCAGGAGGGTAAGGGCCTTGTTTTTATCTGCCACTGTCTCTCACTCTCAGCCCAGTACCTGGCCCATCAAAAACAGTTAATATCAAATTTCCTTTGTCCTGTAATTCGCTGCATTCTTTTTTTTTCCATAATAAACAATGGAAACATAGAGTGTTAACCACAAAGGTATGTCCTGAGGGTCATGTAAGGGGGGTGTGACTGCTCACTCAGACTGGGATTGATAGAATGGCCTGGCACTGTCCGTTGTATCTAGCACACTCAGGGAAGCCCTGGAAGTGATTGAGAGGTTCTGTGTCCTTGAACCCGTGGCAACATGTCTTATCATTATAACTTATAGTATGATTCTTTTATGAGATTGTGGGCATGACAGTCTGGAATGATTGGAAAATTGTGAGAGAAGAGTCATGACTAAAGTCTTTGTAATTTGTGGGGTTAGTTATTGCTTGTCATCTCTCCTCTAAGCATAGTATTTGGAGGGACTCTCTCTGCTTTGCTTTCAGCAGAAGCACCCTGAGGTTCCCTGCTGTGTAGATCTCTAGGATTCCAAGAGGTCCAGAGCCTGAGCTTTACTCTGAAGGCAGCTCTTTACATGTTTATACATCTGGAAATCTTGCTGTTTTAAGCTCATCATGACATGTCCCCATGAGATAATTTCTCCTGGATTTTTTTCTACTTCACTACTTTTTAAAAGAATGCTTAGAGGGAACCAGCAGTTAGCGTAATGGCTATGTCGCTGGACTCCCACGTAGTCGACTGCAGTTCGTGTCCCGGACCTAGTGGCTTAAAACTCACGCCGGGCGCGTGTGTGTGCGTGCCCAAGATCTCGAGAGGAGAATGGAGGAGAAGGGATTGCGGCGTGACCATCCCCCCTGGGGGGTGATTTCTCGCTTTCTGTCTCTATGTCTGGCGAGCGACGCGCCCTACAGTGAAAATCTCTCCAAAAAAAAAAAAAAAGAATGCTTAGAAAGACACAGCATTTTCCTTTGATAAGTCAAATAAACGTGAGGTTTCCCAGTTTGTCTTTTTGCAGCAACTTTGTATGTTAATGGTTAACATGTTGTGCTCGAGGGATCAGAGGTGCACAGGTTCTCACTTGAGTTGTGGACTTGATTAATTAGGGGATTCATCCCTAATCAGTGCTGGAATGCTACAAAATGGGGAAAACAGAAAAAGTTATCAATCTGGTATTTTCAGTTGTCTCAACACCCTAAGTGAAGTGGTTGTATGGGCGAGCAGCTGACGGAGAGAAGTAGCCCTGAAAGACTCTGTTGAAATGAAGAGGCAGTATTAGAAAAGGGATATAGATTTTGGAGTCTAGCAGACCAGGGTTCAAATCCTGTCTCCACCAAGTTAGGACCTCTGCTACTATAGGAAGTTACTTTGCCTCTCCAAGCTTCCTCTTTTATTAAAGTTATACATTGTGTTTTTTGTGAGATTGAGATAATTTATGCAAAAGGTTTCCACAGTACCTTCCCTGTAGGGGGTCTTCAATGAAAGTTCTTATCATTAAGATGAGGCAGAGGTCATTTACTGGCCACCAGCAGATCCAGATCCAGGAGGACCTGGAAGGGGACCCCTTTCATGGTCACAACTGAATTTCTTTCCCAGTTGTATCTATGACATTGGTTGGATTGGCCTCACAGGAAAATAGTTATACATTACTGAATGTGTTTACCTGATTATGAGGCTAGTGGGTTTGGTATAATATTTTTCTTGTCTGGAATACAGCAGAGGACCAAGATTGACCAAAATGCCCATTAGGAAAGAGCTAGCCAAATTTTGGGTTGTCAGGGTCATGACGCATTTTGCATAGAAAAATGTAAAAAAAAAGTCATGACTTTCTCAGCAACCTAATAGATGGCACAAGTCCTTATGCTCAAGAACTCACCCATTTTGCCATTAGAAGACTCCAAGCCTCATCAGTGCCTGGTTTCCTTCAGTGTTGTCAACCTTAGCTGGAGGCTCCACCACCACCTAAGCACATATACCAGATAAGCAGAAAGCCCTTCCACGTGCCTCTTGTCATGCCCCTCACAACCAACTTTCCCCAAAGTTGTGAGTCCAGACCATTAGGCTATTTTATTTGGACTATTGGGATAACGTGCTAAGAAGCCTCTGGGCTATCCCACTTCCTATCCTGTAATTCATTCTCCATAGGCAGGCAGAATGATTGGCTGGAAATAACAGCTCTGATAACTTCACTCCTGCTACATATACACACCCATGTGTACACACACCATACATTCCATATCCCACATCACACTGTTCCTCTCTTCCTACACTCCAGTCCTTTGCTCATACTTATCCCTCCTATTGGTTCAGCATTCCTTTCCTCCTTGTTCTTTTAGGTCTTAGCTTAACCATCATGTCTGCAGAAAAAGCTTTACTCCTCTTCCTGACCAGGCCATATTCTTCAGTCATAGAGTTCCCTAACACCATGCATACTTCCCTTCTAGAAGTCACCACCTTTGTTATTATACACTTACTGTGTGGCAATTTGATAGATAGCTGATCACTTCTTCCAGTAGACTATAAGCTCCTTGAGGGGATAAATACCATGCCATTCTCTCAATTTAATAAACATTTGTTAAA